CTGAACACATTGCTAGCTGCTTACGAACGGAAACTTTGAGTGAGAGAATGAGACAAAATATATGGCTAGAAATCAAGACCAAATTTTCATCAAGTCAAATGCTTCAGCACAAGGGTTCTATTTATAGAACCACTTATATGGGCTGCAAGCTAAAAGCCCAATTAAGGTTGCAAGCTAAAAGCCCAATTAACCATACGAGTATCATACCTTATGATATACCGCATATCACTTAAGCGCGTGGTACCTTACCATATTCCATATTTCACTTAAGTGCAATGTACCTTATGGTGTTCCTTATTTACTCTATCTCTCATCAACCTGTCCTTATGTGTGTGACCCTGTAGGTTTTCATGACGTTGACAATTATATTAAATTACACATTTAACATAATAAACAGTGAGCGGTATCTAACAACACATCACTGCTACCCAAGTCACGAAAATGTCATGTGATCTGACAAAACCTTTATGTGATAATATTTGTGTGTACAATTACCCTTTTACTCTTATGTCTATGTTGAACACAAAGCATAAACTGTGTCACCCTTGTCCAGTTCAATATTGATCCCTTAGACATTTATCCTGTTATGCAAGATAGACAAATTCCATCTAGGTCACTCATGTCCCTCAGCATGCTTTGTGAAGTACCCATCAACTGTCTTTATGGTCATCCAGTTACGGATAATGTTTGATCATCAATAAAGTACTTAACTCCACATCTAAGGTCCATAAAGGTTTCAGGTCGAAGGGTGGTATACACCATTATTGCCATGAGAATAACTTATGACACCTTGCATAACATTCTATGTAGTATTCTCATAGTGGGTCAATCCAGTATAAATATTACTCCTAATATTCATATGTATGCCAAGACTTGATAACTCCTTATCCATGATCCATGAGGTGTGATCATTAGTCTATCTTCATAATAATCTCAATGCTTTAATGTTATCCCACTTTGTAATAAAGCTCGACTACGGATATTTTAAGAATAATGTTCTTATGTTTAATGAGATCTCATGATTAAGTCACACTTAATATTTCATTAAACAAACGAACTATTCTAGGAACTCTATTATTTTGGAAAAGCAAACATAATAAAGAAATGCCTTTTATTATTAATAAATAATTCGATACAAGTACCCAAAGTATTAGCCTCTATGGCTTACACCAACAGCCTGTTTCTTGACTCAATCAAGAAAGTGACTATGAGTATGTTTCCCTAATTGAAAAGATTCACAATGTAAATTAGATAATTTTGATAAATTTGGAACCAACTTTGGAAATACCTAGATGACCTAACTGCGCATGTATAGTGAGAGGAGAATTTATGTTTGAGCATGTAGTAGATGGCACAAAGAAGTAGTAAAGGCCTTGAGACTCACATCTGACGCCAATCGTCTGTCCCGAACTCCGATACTACATGGTAACTTTATTGTTAGTAAATGTGACATAACAATTGAGGGAATGAGTTAAACGACTGACTGAAAGTAAATTAAATGGGTAATTAGGTACATATAGAATATCAGTAATAAAAAGAGATGGTAGAACTTGAACATTAGAAATCCATTAAGATCGGTTTTGAGAACCATTTGTGGCAGTTATACTAGGTAAGAAATCAGAGGTGGAGAGGGAAAAGAAAAGACCTTTATTAGCGATAACATGATTAAACGCACCAGAATCAAGGACCCAAGGGCCAATAGGAGATGATTGAGAGAAGTAAACACATGAATTACCAGTGTGTGCAATCAAAGTCGTGGAACCCGAGTTCTGATTAGTCTGACACAACCTGAGGAAATTATCATATCTTGGCGTAGAGATTTAAAGAGAATGTGAGGTCTACAGAGTGTCTGAATGGTCGATTTAAGTTGCACTCATCTGGCGTGGAGGTTTTCTATGCAACTTACAACAATGGTCAATAGTATGTCCAAGCTGGTTATAATGGTCACACTTGGGACGGGGTTTGGAGTTGGATGACCCTCAAATTATCAACATGCATAATAGTTTTGGAAGAGTGTTTTTCCATTTCATTCATGTTGAAGTTTATGATGAACTGATTGAAACTATTAGGCAACAATTGCAGAATTAGATTAGTTACAAGATTTGACCTAAGGTAAAATCTTAACCTTTCAAAATTCTCAACATGCCCAGTCATTTTGAATACTTAAGAACCCAGAAGACCCCCTCTTTAAAATTGTTTAGGAAACTTCCAAACTTTCACACCTAGCTTGCTCTTTATAGAGCATCTCGAGGTGTTCTAACATATTTTATGCCTCCATATTCTCTTGTTGCTTATGAAGCTTAAAGATCTTCGTAGGGGAGCATATGAAAGTTTCAAGGCTACATCATGAAGCTTCTTATAAGCATCCTTTTTATCCTTGGTAACATCACTCGGTGGTTCCTCTTCAAGAACAAGCCCCTCAAGAACATACAACTTTTTCTCGTGCTTGAGGATAATCCTCAAATTTCAATTCAAGTTGATAAATTTTGTTTCAAACTACTTCTCTTTATCAAGAATTGATTGCAAATATTGTTTGAGGTGTTTTCCATGATTATCTACATCAAGAAAAATTCATAGAAATAAATATTATGTGGTTAAATATGTTTAATTAGATTATTAATTAAATATGTTTCTGCTATTTTACTTAAATAAAATGATCTTTAACACTTGATTCAAAAATTCTATTGAAAGATTTTCTAGTGGTCTGAGATCCATATATTACTTTGTTCTGAGTCAACACTGGTTGATCATCCAAAACTTATATATATGAACTCTTTCCAATTATAACCTATACAACTCTCAAGACAACTAGGCGAATAACCCTATTCTAATACAATATATGAATTGCTTCCAACTCTTCATTATAAATTTTTCAAACTTACTGAGTTTAGCTCAGTTAAATTATACTCAAAAGGTAGTAGGTGAATACTACTTTTATTTCATTGCATCATAGTATTATGAAAAATGTACTTCGTGTTGGTAAAATCGACATTTACGATATTAGTCTTGAAGTGCTAACTTTTGGAAAATAATTAACTTAATATTTAATTGAAAAGATTTTTATCAAACAATTTCGCCAGCTTATGCATATCATATAAGACGTCTCTCACATTAATTATATACCGTGCATCATATATATACATATATAGAAAATGAAGTGATATACCGTGCATCATATATATACTTTTTGTTGACTTTTGAAAATGACCTATAATGTTGAAATTGATAACTTTTTATGAGAGCATTTATTGGACTTGAAGTATGAAGATGAGTTGTAGGAAATGTCTTTCTATTCAAAATGAGCTTTGGATGGAATTTTTTTGATAATCCATGTGAAAGTTATGCCCTGATCAATTTACAGTTGACTTTTTCAGCTGTCCAAATAAGGAAACTTTTGCATCTTGATGATTTTTGAGCCAAGCTTTGAGAATCATGATCAAGCATTGATCAAATGATATTTGTGGCTTCAAAATGAGATGTTGACAAAAAATTTGAACTTTTGACTGCCAAATGACCATTTTGCCCCTATAGTTGACTGTAGTGCAATTAGGGTTTTTGACTGTGCAATTTTGTGCTGGAAGTCTTGAAACTTTGTATGAGGATGCTTGACCATATTTGTAGGCATGTGGGACTTGATTGGACCTTTGGAAACTTCATTTTCTTGATCAGAACAAAAACCCTAATTTTGACTGCTTAGGAGGCCCTTGAACTGTGCAACCCTTGGAGAATTTTGAATCTTGACTTGGCAAATCTTTTGAAGAATATGGGAGGGAAAATTTTGGGGTACAACATATACATATATAGAAAATGAAGTGATATGTTTATCGCTCCTACCACAATTGCACTCTCAAGTCAATGAGAGAACCTTAGCTAAACACATGGATGATTGTGCTTTTCCAAGCTTTGACCACAGATAAAATACAAAAAAAATATCTCGTACAATGGATTCTTACAAATGATCATGAGTCAAGAATTAATTGATTATCTCTTGTAGTGTAGAACTTTTGATCATCGAAATAAATTGATCACAAGAACATCGTGAACGACAATGCCTCTATTTAGTCTAGACGAATAAAATCTGCAATGAGTAATTCCTCTTCCTACAATTCTAGTCGGGAACGAATAAAATGTTTAGAGAGAACACAAACTCATGATCCTAAGTCATCTAGGATTTTAAGAATACAAGAATGAGTGATTGTTATTTTAGTATAAAAGTCCTATTTATATAAGCACTTATATCCAGTATAACTTATGGTGTACCAACTTTCTTTAATTAGCGTTGATGTATTATAAAAGTATAATTTTAAATCATAAATAAATCTCACTCATTTATTTAATTTCTCGTTTATTTGTCCTTATATGTGTGATCATATAGGTTCTCGTATTGTTTTCAATAATATTAAATCACTTATTTAATAGTATAAACAAAGAATGATATCTAACAACACATCAATGTTATTCAAGTGACAAAAATATCATGTGCTTTAACATAACTTTTCTATAAAAATGATCACATGTATAATCTAATATTATACTCTTGATATTTGAGTATATTTAGTAACAATAAATAACTCAATATTTTATATTAACTTATTCTATAATACTCATGCATTATACTTTGCAAAGGATTCACAATGACTCACACGTGGAGAAGCAAAGACCAAAATTCTAGTCCAGCAAAGCACAATGATGTCCAATGCTGGCTTCTTGTCCGAATCAGCAACCCACCCTTTTTTTCACATGGATGGGATCACTATTCTCTCCTTTAACACGTGACCCACCCTTTTACTTTACCTAATTTTAAATCGTTTCATACTCAGTAAAATACTAGACATGATAAAACAAAGAACAGGTGTCACACAAGTGAGAAGAAAATGAAACTTTAACATCTCGAGGGTAATAACGTAAATTGCTCAGAAAACAAAACTTTAACTTTTGAGACAAAAGACAGCAGTCGTGGCGGTGTCATGTTTTCTCTTCAAATAAGGAAACCGTAACAGCAATTCTTAGATTCTTATTCTTACCATTTTCAATTCATTTCTTTTTTATTTATTAATTTCACAACCAACAGTAAAACACACGCAAACACCACCCTCATCGTACATTCTTGTTTTTCTCAACAAGTCCACAAACCTCAAATTACATACTTGTCCATTTCTCAACACTTCATCATCTTCATCATCGTAATCGAATACCCAAACAAAAAAGCAACACACAAAATCACATTTCATCTTTCATTCATCAAATCAAATCAAATGCTCAAACTTTCACTCTCTCTTTATCTCTTTCCTTCTTCACAGGTAATCCTCACTCTCACTCTCTCTCTCTCTCTCTCTCTCATCAAGACCAATCTCACCAACATTTGTTTTTCTTGAAATTTAATTATGTATTTTCTAGTTACTTGTTTGGGTTTTGTTGATGGGTCTTAATTTAGATCTGAGTGTAGTTGAAATCATGATTTTGTTTAATTGTTGAAAAAATTTAATTTTTTATGAGGTTAATTATGAATTATGATATACCCATTTTTTAATCCTTGCTTAGGATGAAAGAAAGTACTGACCAATGTGTAATCAAAGAAAAAAAGTACTTTTCTGCAATACAAATGCTTTGCAATGATACTGAAGTTGAGTGATATGCTGAATTTCTCCGCCTTTGATTTTTTTTCTGTTGCAGGGTAGTTTGTGACATTCTGTTCTTCAGGATTAGATTTCTACTAGAACTTCATGTCATTTTTCAATACCAACTGAGATCGGTTTATTCCAAGGTATACTTTTGTTAAGAATTGTAGTGTGAAATATTGCATAAATTGATTTGAAGATCGTTTCAAATTTCCTTGCATATATCGTTTCAATTTTCTAATCAGGAAATATTGATAAACCTATAGATTTGATTGTAGTTGACATTAACTCTTTGTTCCGTGTATGCTTCTTGTTGTGATATTTGTTATAACTCTTGTTTACTATTTAAATTTTTGATCTTTATCTTGAAAAAAGATGGCAGCTGAGTTAGTTAACGCTGCAACAAGCGACAAATTATCTGAAACCGATTGGACAAAAAATATTGAAATATGTGAGTTGGTTGCACATGATAAAAGGTACGATGTAGCTCTCATCTGCTTAATTGGTTATGTTCCTTTATTGATCAGTCAATGTTGTAAAACGTCGGGAAATTACGTTGTTGATGTCAATTGTATATATCAGGATAATTGTCGTGGTTACTGTTTTTAACCATCAGTTCTATTGAATATGAAGGCAAGCTAGAGATGTTGTTAAAGCTATCAAGAAGAAACTCGGAAGCAAACACCCAAACACTCAACTTTATGCTGTCACGGTGAGTATAATGACTTTCTTGTTAAAGTTAGAGATGTTGAATATTACGTGCTTGCTTTCTTGTTCCATGGATTTCTACTGAGTTGTCTTTGATCTGTTGATTTTCTAGTTGCTGGAAATGTTGATGAACAATACTGGAGAGCATGTTCGTGAGCAGGTGATTGATATCGGAATTATTCCTATTCTTGTGAAAATCGTGAAGAAAAAGGTGAGTTTTCTTCTCCACTATACTTGTTTAGCTTGGCCGGTTTTTACTTTACCTGATTTCTTACTTTCTTAGTTTCTTCATTGCAGTCTGATTTGCCTGTGAGAGAGAGGATATTTCTCCTACTAGATGCCACACAATCATCCCTTGGCGGTGCTTCTGGAAAATTTCCTCAGTATTATCATGCATATTATGATTTGGTGGTAGGTACAACTACGCGACACAAACTCGTAGGATGTTATTTTAATTTGATCTGAGTTCATTTGATTAGTAGGTGGTAGCTACTAGATAGGCTATTGTTGTTTCCAAGTAAGAAAGAATGATGTTTAATGTGTTATCAAATTGCGGCGCCATGGCCGCTATGGCAGATATACATTGCAGTTTTTGGGTTCGCCATGGTAAATATCAGCCGCTATTGTGGGGTTTTCCGCCATAATCTGCAATAATGGCGCCACAAAGTGGCTGGTATGGCTCTATTTTGGCTCTCCGCCATGGACCGCCATCCGCCATCAACAACACTGATGTTTATCAAACTATATGATTTTAAAAAATAGAAGAGGCTGATATAGCAAATCGTTTTCAATTAGTCTGCATATGACTCTTAAATTCAGAAGGATGAGTGTCTTTGTGTTCATATTTGAGTAGGATACATGGTGCTAACCATAGTCACCTGGTTCACAATTCGCTTTGGTACATGGTACGAGTTTGGATACGCGTTACGCAACTCTTGAGTATTGGTTATGTGGGGTATATGTAAATGGTACACTATTTTGGTTCTTGGTATTGGAATGTTTTATTCGGTACTCTTATAATTAGTTTGTATCTTGTCTAGTTAAAAACAACTAATTACATGCTAAAATTAACGAGTCATTCCTTTTTTTAAAATGAAAGAGATAAAAATAGTCCCGTTTTGAATGTTACGAAAATAACATTTGTCCCTTTAGTTTTAGTTTTTACATTATAGCTGCAATAGTTCCACGTTGGAAGCTTTTAAACAAAAGAGAGGAAGGTAACAATATAAAACAGCAGCGTGCGTGGTAATTCATTGCACCAGGGAGTCAAAATTAGCGTGCTATTGTAAAATTTAAGGCGCTGAGTTCCGTATTCAGTCAATCTGGTCAATGATTTCAAACCAGTTGTTTTTTTCTCTAGGAATTTCTACATAACTGGATGACCGGAAGTGAACTGTTACAATGGTCAGTGATAATTTATGGATAATCATGGTCGGTTTGTTTGGTGCTGATCATCTTGGTTGTCAAAATCATGATCTAATTCTTACCATCTTAAGATTTTACGATGTCACTCACCTCCAACGATCCAGATCTTAAGTAGAATTGTGTGTTGTAGCTAAATTGTGAGGGGAAAAAAATCACAAAACCATTGATGGTGAGCAATCTTGGCAGTTGAAGTGAGATGCAGAGGAAAAAAAATCATAAAACCATTGATTGTGAGCAATCTTGGCAGGTGAAGTGAGATGCAAAGGAAAATAAGTCATAAAACCATTGATTGTGAGGAAAAAAAAATCATAAAATCATAAATTGTCAATTACAATGATCGGACATTTTCCGGCCACCACCAAGATGCAGAGGCACAACAATTACGGTTTGGCGGTGATGAATGCATGGCTTTTGAAATGATGAAATTTTAGATTTAGGGTATAGATAATAAACATATAATTGTAGGGTTTGTTTTAAATTAGACTCATGATAAACCGAGTAATGGACCCCATCACTGATGTCTAACAAATGTTTCATGTGATAAATGGTAATAAAGTATGAAAACTCAATCATACATCTCTAAAGAGTATGAAAAAGGAGACCAACTGTTAGTTGATCCAGTGATGATTAGCGCTGGACTTGGTAGGGAGGACCACGGTTCGATCCCCCGCAGCTGCGATCAGGAGGGGGCTGGAATCACTTGATGCCAGAACTGACCCCCGAACCTGACAGAAAAAAAGAGTATGATTTTTTGTTGCGATCTTTTGTTTTACAATCATGCCACTCCTCTTGATCTTACAAAAATAATTGGTAGAACCTTCCGATCTTATGTTTACGATCTTCCTATGCCCTCTCAATCTTATGCAAAATCCCGATCTTGACAATCTTGGTGATAACCTTATATGTTTTAAATTCACTTGAGATGATTAAATGGGAAAATTGTGGAATGTTGTAGGTATTATAGTGGTCTTATTATATTAGGGATCAAGCTCATTGATGGTCTTATTACACATTTACAGTTCGCCATGTTTCTCTTTATAGCATATTTGTTAGCAAAAATAGAACAGAAAGTAGTTGCTCGAGGGATCACAAACAAAAGTCATTATACGCCTTTGAATGCCAATACTTACGACCTTTGGTTTTATTACCTTTTACAGAATGCCGGAGTGCAGTTTCCTCAAAGTGCTCAAGTGGTCGAATCAAATCATGCTAGTTCACAACCTAGTAGGACTGGTAGTGAACCAAACAGGGAGCAGGCTTCACCTAGACATGAAGTGGTTGTACCACAAGCAGAGTCTAAGACAGTTCCTGAATCTAGGTGATTTATGTTTTTTAGTGTACTTGTAATTGACATGATCTTTAGAAACCCTTTTCTAGCTTACTGTATTTTCTTTTTCATCTGCTTGTAGCATTATTCAAAAGGCTGGTAATGCATTGGAAGTTTTGAAAGAAGTACTTGATGCTGTTGATGCTCAACATCCTCAGGTGACTCCTGAGGTTTTAGTTATAGAATCTGTAAACAACTAGATTCTAGCTTTTGCTGAAATTTTTTCTGTTTTTCCTAGGGAGCAAGTGATGAATTCACCCTTGACCTTGTAGAACAATGTTCGTTTCAGAAGCAAAGGGTAATGCATCTTGTGATGGCTTCTCGGTAAGACTTCATTTATGGTACTTAATGTTTTTCACACGGTTAATTTGAAACTTAAATTGGTTTTTTCATTTTTCATTTGTAGAGATGAGAGGACAGTTTCTCGAGCAATTGAACTAAATGAACAGCTTCAGAAAGTTCTTGCAAGACACGATGACCTTGTTTCTGGTAGAACTACAACGTCGGCTAATGAACAGGTTCCAAAAGTTCTTCCAATACACGATGAGGTTGTATCTGGAAGAGCTATAGCAACTTCTAATGAACAGTTTCCAAAAGTTCTTCCAAGACGTGGTGATCTTGTTTCTGGCAGAGTTACAACGAATGCTAATGAACAACTTCCAAAAGTTCATCCAAAATGCGATGATGCTGTATCTGGCAGAGCTACAGCAACTGTTGCTACTCATTTCGACCTCGATGAATCAGAGGAGGAAGAAGAGCCTGAACAGTTAGTAAGAAGGTATACCTATCTTGTTCCTGGAACTCAATTCATACAGTATTTTGCATGTTAATGCTTCTTGGTATAACTAATGCCTTGCAGATTACGCAAAGGAAAGGCTTGTGCAAGACCTGAAGATGAAGAAACTGAAACTGACATCACTCGCATGCGAATGAATGGGGAGAGACTAAACCGTCCTTTAATACGGCCACTGTCCTCAGAGCCATCTCGAGAAGCTTACAATCCTGCTCCTCCACCGGCTTTAATCCCTCTTCCACGTCCAAAACAGAATGATGAGCTTCCACTTCCTCACGTGGCGATCCCACCACCACCTGCAAAACACGTTGAGAGGGAGAAATTTTTTCAGGAAAACAAGGATGCTTCTAATCTATCCGGCCACATGAGAGGTCTCTCTTTACATAGTCGTAACGGAAGCAGCTCTCGCAGTGGAAGCTTTGATTTTAGAGACTGAGATCTTTAACAGCAAAACCTCTTTTAATTTTTTGTCTAAATTTGGAATTGAAATTTTTAAGTGTGAGAAGTTTGTGGTTTCTGTTGTAGTTTTGTTGCCTCTTGGTGAATTTGGAGAGGGGAAAAAGAAGGAAAGACATGTCTCCAGTTCTTGGAATACTTGTAATTATAAAGCTTACAACACCAAAGTTTCACGTGCTAGTGTGATATAAATGATATATATTCTTTCCCTGATTTCTACTAACTACATATTCTCTTCTTATTCTAAACATTTTTTAAATATTCAAATACCACTTTTAATTGTTTTTTTTCCTTTGAGAAATAAAGTGAATTCATGATATTTTCAAACTGGCAACTTAGTTGTTGTTTTTTTAAAAAAAAACTAATGAATATTTTAAATTTAAAAATATCTCAACACTATTATTTATGACAATTGCTTAATGCATTTTTATGTCTTTTTTAGAGGCTTTTAGCAAAATTTTAGTAATATTTTCTTATTTCGGATATATATATCCGAACTCATCATATTGTAGTTTTTATCGAATAGGTTCGGAGATGTATATTTGAAGCTATCAAATGGTAATTTTCGAACACACGTATTTGAAATAAATCATAACTTTCAAACATAATCAAAAATCTTAAAACTAAAGCAACTTAACATAAATTTAACATAGATAGTTAGAAATTACATAGATAGTGGAACGGAAATTTAACATTACATATTATTATAAACGGATAGCTGAGGACGTCGCATCCACTTCAATCGGACGCTTAGTAGAGTATCAGTGAAAAATACTCCACATAACCTTTAAATCGTCATCCGTCTTCAATGCAAATTGGGTGAACTTTATCTTTCCTTCAGTGTTAGGTGAGGGTGAACGATACTCGAACTTGACCACCTTTCGATTTTCTGGATATTGTATGAGAGAATTCAGTATGGTAATGAGCTCGGCGAGAGACGTGTTCTCGGAGAATCTAAATTGAAGCGGCGACTTCTTATCACTGAAGTAGACAAAAATAAGGTGAGGATATGTTTGACTCATCTCTGTTTGTGGTGTGTGATGTTGAAGAAATGGTTTGGACACCCTATTTATAGAAGATTTGGAACAATTTGGTCTCAAGAATTCTTATCCTACCACCAGTGCATGTTTCATATATAAATATCTGAATTCACCTTTTTTTTAACGAAAATAGAGGGTTTTCGGAGATTCATAACCGAAGTAACCCCTGTTGTTTTTTTTATAAAAAATAATGTTATTTCAGATATGCATATCCGAATTATGCAGAATCAGAAACATATTATGTTTTAGAAGAATCAGTACCATAGAAACATGAAAAAAAATTATGATAAATGTAAACAACGTTAAAATATTGAGTAGATATGTTGTATATGTATTGAATCGTATAGAATTTATATTTTGCACGATAATACATTCAAAAAATGATTCAGTTACATTCTAAAATGCACCAAACGAATTGTCACCGCTTAAATCTAAAACCAGTTCTTTTTTCGACTTCTCCCTATTTGATCCTCTCTCAAGCTCCGCCAAGTTGGTGAACTCTGTCATCCTTTTCAAAAAGTGATTCGGCCAAGTTTTCGTCTCTTTTGTGGAATGTGTCGTCCACTCCACTGATGTACCCGGAATAGGACACCCCGGTTTCAAATAAACCTGAACAAAATGAAACCATTTAAGATACCCAATACAAATGATGCGGCCATATGGGTCTTGCGGTCGGCGACTTTGAAGTGGGAAAAATGCCTTCAAAAAACCATATCTCGTCAGATCGATACACACCCTGTCATATGCACTTGCTATAAGATGACTCATTTCATAGAAGCACATCCACTTTGCAAATGGTGCGTTACCTCTAACACATGGAATAAGAGCATTGTGAATTTTATCGAAGTCTTCCTTTTCCCCATATAGTCGTGTGTAAAAGGCCCTATGCATCGTCAACTCCGAAATAAGTATTTGGCGCACAATAATGTGATTCTCCTCTCCTTTACCAAGTAAATTGGACACGGTCCGAAACCCGCAATTACCATCACCCCACATCTACGATCCTTTCAATGAGTTTGTGCACAAAAAACAGCATCTCATCAATGTGAATAATCGGTGGTGGAATTAGTGGTTTTTGGATTGGAGGTGTAAGTGATGATTTTTTAATAGGCGGTGTATGAGGCAGTTTAGAAATGCGAGCTCTCTTGAAAACACTTCTTTCTCAGATTCCAGAAATGAAAATCCAACTGAAAATGTCTTCTGCGTAGAAGTGGCACCAACAGTTTCTAGAAGCGGAAGCCTATACTTGTTTGTCTTGTACGTTGAATCAATTATAAGGACGGTTGGAAATATATTGAACAACTTGATACTTTTTGAATGAGTCCAAAAAATATCACAAACATTGACTTTATCGCCACACACTCTGTATCTTGAAACATAATGGTTATCGTCCAAAAGTATCAAAAGTTGTTGCATTTCAGATCTCGGACCTCTATTCGTCATATTCCGTTGATAACGTTCATTGTATACCTGCCTGATATTTGAAACACTTTGTGACCTTTTCCGTTTCAAATCGACAAGTATGTTTCTCAACGCAACTTTAATTATCGATATTTCCTAAATAATTTTGTTCTCCTCTTGCTTAAGCCGGCTTAAAATTGGATGATCTTGTAGCTTGGTGTCAAACGCATGATTATGTATACCAAAAATGACATTAAACTGCAACATATCATCCACCCTACAATATCCGCGCAATTTAAACAGACACTCACATTTTCTCGATCTGGTGTCTTTATGTTTTAACTTCCAAATTTTTGGAATATATTTTCCATTGTCGGACCTTCCAATCACAACGTCAAACCTGAGTTTGCTAGATTTTATTCGAACCAATTCAAGCATATGTTGACGAGCAATTAAAATTTGATCATTTGTAAATTATTGTCGAACATCTATCTCGACATCAATATTTTTAACATCGTCTTTCACCTCATCCAGCTTATCATCGCCATTCACCTTGTCCAAAACCTTTACAATAATTTTGGGAAACATGTCGGGGTGCACCATATCTAAAACGAGTAAAAAAGAAAAAAATATTAAATTTTTTTTTGTATCAGGGATAGTTTCGGATATGCATATCTGAAGTGACACTGTTTTTTCATCTCAAAATCAACATCAATGCAATAAAATGAGAGATGAAATGAGGAAAGTTTACCTTAAATTGCAGCTTTATATGCTCTCTTTGATATGATAAATCACTTGAAACTTGATTTGGAGACGAAAAGTTGATTGAGAATGGTTGAAGTTTTGTGGTAGGTTTTGGTTATGGCGGAAATGAAAATAATGAAATAGTGGTAGGGGTGATCATGCAGCAAGCTGATATAGCAACAATATTTTTAGATGTGCATATCTGAAAATACCACTGAATGTTAAATACAACATTGAAAATTGATTTAGAGTGTTTTATGAAATGCATTTCCGAAACACCTTAAAAATTGATTTATAATATATTTAGAGATGCATATCCAAAAGATATTTTAGAGTTTACAGAGGTTTACTTCACCCATATAAGGGTGTATTAAGAGATTCTCTTACTTATTTGGTTGAGAACGAATTTTATTTGTTTGAATAAACAACATCATTCAGACAACAAGTTACATAGTTTGAATAATATTATATGGATCATCATGTTAATTGTCTAATAGTTACATAAACTCTTTCATTAAAAACCAACATATTTTTTAAATCCTTTCAAAAAAAAATCACTTATTTAATAATTACATTTGATAACACAATTCAGTTGTATTTTGATATCATAAACATCATAATTGTCGTAAATTACATGTGATATATATATTATCATTTATCATTGAATAACAATGTGATTTTCGTTTTGTTTATTGTAAAAGTTGTCCAGATAATATCATTCAAAATCTTCCGAATTATAACTTTCATGCATTTGGATTGAATTCTCTTTATTTTTAATTATTGTAGGTATGGTGCACTCTGATGGAATCAACCAAGCCAATGCATTAGAGGATTATGCATTGAAAGATCCTCAATTTGATCTTGCACACGATGTTTCAAAAGAATTTACCACTGAACAAGAGTATGCAGAACGTGATCATATGCTTAAATGAGTTCGTATGGAAGCTACCAAATTAGATTTTGAAATAATAATGCTTAGAGGTGGTCCTCTAATTCCTGTTAGTGGGGAGAACCATGGTATCTTTATCCCTACACTATAGATAAGTATTTGGGAGGGAATTGGTTCCTCACCCATCAGTTTGGGCCATACGTTAGGCCTATAAATATCTCAACCCTGAGGGTTGGGAAGGAGAATTCATTACTCACATATTTAGAGCACATAACCCCTCTTGTGGTCACCATTATAAATGGAGTTATCCTCATTTTATTTTTACTAGTACAATCATACATAAGTCACATATTTTTAACGCATAAAATAAGAGATCTCTCAATGGCATTGGTTCTAGATATGGATAAAAAAAACCCTATAATACTATTGGATGTAATTGTATATTGTATTACATGGACTAGAAGTTAACACACTCCGTAGATCCTCATGTACTCCGCAAATATGTCAACAATATCTCTACAATAGACTGTATGAGAGATAATCAATATGGGGTCCCTAGGTATACCCTATAAATATCTAAACTGCCTCAATATTCGCTCAGGTAGATTTTGGTAATTAAGACGAGATCTGCAAACCAGACATCCAGAGTACCAATAGATCTCCTATAAAGGACATGTCTAATGGTGCTCATTGTATAACGTGGAACATATATCATCTACCAGAGTGTGATCAATAGTATGTATGTACAAATGAATCATTAAATTCCCATATGTGGATTAATCATGCACACACAAGGAAACTCTTCGTTGCACAGTAATAAACTATTCAATGCACACTGTCTATGAACAACGACATGAGCATAACCAATAGCATGATTGAAACTGCAGCCAAATGATTTTCATAATTAGTCATTAGAAATGAAAATTTTGCATGTGCTCCCCGGGTAGTTACAATCTCCTATTTGACCGTAACTGAATCATCTCTTTAGTGTGTAACCATTAGGTCTAGTGCATCTACTCTCTGAATTGGGTTGTGATCCAACAATTTGCTTGTGATAGAAAGATGCAGGATGCATTACTACATCATCCAGAGTCATCTTCCCGTCTCACCAATGGGAAGATGAAATGACGTCTCGAAGTACCATTTCTCATTAAAGACTGACAAAAGACCTTGGTCAATGAAACCAAATTCAGTCCTGCAAGCATCCTTCAGTCTAGATGCTTCTAATATATCTCGAAGTCATAGTTCATTTGGTTATTACTATTGTGTTATTTTTCTACCATGGTTAATAAACTTTACTGTCTCACGATACTGAAAAAATTAATACATCGGCGTGAGATGATTAATTTCAATATAATCACCATAAATAAGATGTTTAAAATCACAAGTAAATATTTGTTTTATCTCTCTCTCCCTTACGTGAGTAGATCGACATGGTGTTCATATAATAGAAAATGTCCTTTGGACCTCCATAAAATCCCTCATGTGCAGCAGATGCTCAGACCCAAGGTCTCCCATGAGTTTGTGATCCATGACTATGTGAGGACAATGAAGGAGCAATGCTAAATGATTTTCCTACTTTACATTGTGGACTTTCAAACCTCGATGACTTTACTTTCCTTGTCTACTAAAACATGTTTTTTACAATAATGCTAGATTCAACCATGCCTTTACCTCTCTTGTTCATTAGCTATGTTTCTATAACCACACAAAACATATGGTCAATATAAGTAAGCATGTCAAATTTATTGAAATCCAATACATAATACACGATAGAATTTAAACATATTAGAGATATATGTAAATATCTAGTGTTAACATTATCCGGATGGGGTCTCCGAATAGTGTTATCCAAACATTTTTGAACTAGAGAACAAACTCATAAAGAACCCTAACCTCTAAATCTAACAAAATCAAATCAAAACTTAAAACAACAGTCATAGATAGAATTTGGACATTAAATGAGATATAATATACTTCAATTCAAAACTAAAAAAAAAAAAAAGAACACATCATAATCACAAGTTACGTGAGAATGTGAAGTTGTTAAACTTACAAAATATTCTTCAAATGGCGCAGCCCGATAAAATGAATGTCCGAAATTGATTTACGAATATAAGAGTAAGAACTGAGATATTTTGACTAAATGTTAATAGTTCTCACACAATTGACTAAATGTTAATAGTTCTCACACAAAGAGTGGTTTTGAAAATTGACTCTTTTGTTTTTAAAAGTTGCGGAATAGAGAGGAAAAGTGATTTTTTATTGATATTAACGGTGCGTCCGGATAACATCATCTTTGATATACATTTAGTGTTATATTGAAAATGCATCCGAATTGTATTATTCTGACAAGACGAGAGAGATCTTTTTAGAAATTCATAGGATTACGAAAAACATATACATTGTAATAAATAACCTTTACAGTTATCTCTAAAAATAAAAAAATTAGCATATATGCTGCTAACGTCATGCATGTACGCAAACAAACTAAATAGATTTTATTTTGATCTACTGTCATGTTCTTTCCACTATGATGTAATCAAGCATTCACACATTATTACATATAGAATGAGCTTGACTATAAAAAAACAACAACAAGAACTTCCCACTAAGTAGGATTTATTATATGGATCAAGTGATATAACTCCACCCATCAATATTGTAAAAGAACATCACTTGATGGTAGTGTTAAAAACTATACACTGAATTATCAAAATTGAACTCAAACTAGAATCTCCACTGTCTTTGAGGACATGGTTGAGATTGATTCACCTAAGAGAGGACATTAAAATTCCCCACTGGTGAAAAACACTATCAGGTGTGGTGACTTCAAAAAACAAAAGCAGCAGCACAGCTAGCATGGCTACTCTTCCATTCCAAGTTTCAGCACTTTTTGTCAAACCCCATTGCCACACTATCACCGGCGATGGCAACTCCCTGTGTTGTGAGTCGTATGTTGCCAATAACTCCTCTACGCTGCCAAGCGGAACCAAAGACTGCCAAAGAATCCATACTTTCAATTAGACCGTCACAAGATGCCCGATTCTAGAGATTAAAAAGATAATTTGAACACCACTATATCTAACTGAAAAGAATACCTGTCGAGCATTGATGTTTGAAACTGCCATGGCACCAACATATGGGAGACTTTCAATCACAGCATCTGCCAAATCAGAAATGAAGGAAGGTTCGCATCCTAGAGCAGGAACACGGCCCCATTTTTCTATTCCAGATTCTAGAGCCAATTCTTTGTATTCAACATCAATTTCTTCTAGAGTTTCAATATGTTCACTGACAAAGCTGTAAGTGAATAAAAACCGCACAAGTTAACAAAACAAAATACTAGTCGCATACTTTGTGCATGTCTGAGAAAAGGGCGGGAAAGATAAAGAAATAAATCGTAATAGGAGTAATATATTTACCTAATTGGAACAGCCAACAGACTTTTCACTCCCTTTTTTCCAAGTTCAACTATCGTCACGTCTGTATATGGTTTTAACCATTCCACAGGTCCAACTCTACTCTGCAAGAAGAATTACCATACTCAATTACTAGAAAACTTCTTGATCTGTTTAGAAATTATTGCCTAATGGATAACTTCAGCAAGGACAATATACTAGAACGTATGTATCAGCAGAATCAAATAGCTGAAAAAGACAAAAAGACGGTACCTGATAGGCAAGGGTGTAAGCATTTGTTATCTTTCTTGTCTCAAGCTCTTCCATGATCAAATCCACACATTCCTCCATCTCTGCTTTGTATGGATCACCGGCCTCTTCCACATAAGCAAGAGGCACCCCGTGCGCACTAAAGAATATCATGACCTGCACAAATTAGTTGGACTTGATGCATGCACAGCGACTAAGAAAAAATTGTAACTCATTTTCAGAAATACTTTTCAGCATTTCCATATAAAAATGACTAAGGAATAACCAAAATAGTTAACCGAAGAATCTCAACAAAAACTTTTTTTTGCCTATAAAGGCATTTCATAGTTTCCTATAAAGTCGTTGAAGCTACAAAGGAGTAAAAATGGTCTACCTCCTTAGGGGAGTCAAAACTCTTCAGCTCTTTTTCGATTAAACTTGACATGGCCTTTATGTATCCTTCACGTTGATACCATGAAGGTAATACCGTGTGCTCCATGTTGACTAGATACTCATCCTCTCTAAAGAACCCATTCATAACATAACATGAAGTTAAATAGTTTAGATATTTGAAGAATAATAAATGTAGAAACAGTAATCACCGGAATATGCTTTCCAGTAGACGTAAGCTCGAGCCACTGGTTGATATTGAAAATTGTGGATAAAGTGGGAGAACGACCAGCTTTGTAATTCCATCTTTTTTAATCTACACAATGTGTTTCAAAAGGAAATTAAATTATAATCACGTTTGAGCAATTAGATCTCATTAGTACTCTTGATTTCTTTAATCATTTTAAAATATTTCCCAACCTTTCTTTGAGATTGATTACACAGAATACGGTGACATTTTTTAACTCATATATTAGATGTAAAATAATAACAGGGAAGAGAATCCCTGATGACATAATCTTTACCAAATTCATCAGAGTATTTACATAGTGAACTAAGAATGAGATCATCAAGTACCTGTTCAATAGCTTCCTCAGTGAATGGATGCCAGTAACGCATACCAACATACACTTCGGCAGGGACATTCTTTGCAAAAAGAGATTTCTTCAAATCTTCAGCCTGTGTAGGGGAGATCATTAGAAGAGCAAGGATAATAATATAATGAATATGTTCTGACCATAGTGCTAAGAAACTTTTTAAAAACATCAACAAAAAATATAAGTCAATATTATAATCTCAAAGGATTAGCAGAACTTCTCACAGTTTGATTGAAATTAATGATAAAGATTACAAATGAGGTGACAATATAAAACACTACGATATGGTAAAATTCAAAGTCGTCTCAAGTTTTTGGAGGTCCTATGTAGGTTAGTCACAGTTTAACCAAGGCAAAACAAATAGAAGTTTGTTTAATCACGATTTAACTTGACAAATATTTTATGAGGCCCTATTTAACTACAATTTAACCTTGACAAATTTGGGGCCCTAGCACCTTGCACGTCCTCAAACACGACCCTGGGAAATTTCATACATATTCAGACAACTTGACAAATATTTTATGAGACCCTATTTAACTACAATTTGACAAAGTTGGGGCCCTGGAACCTTGCACGCCCTCAAACACGATCATGGTAAATTTCATACATAATCAGACAACTGAATAACAAAGCCTGGAACAACTCCTACTCGAACATGATTAGTTCATTTTCTGAATATTGAAATTTGAAGTATTGTACTCATTTGAGAGTGAAATATAAGTCATAATCAAAAGGGGAAAAAAGTTAATAGGAAGTGTCATGCCTGTGCATCAGTTATGCGTCGAAGTGGAGAACCGCCGCCAATTGAAGCATAGCCTTCTCTGCTCTTTGGAGCCCTTAGAACAGATACAAACTGGGCCAGTGGCTTTTGAAGAAAACTAAATATTCTTGGCAATCGTATAATATCCTGTAACATTTTACATAAAACACAACTTATAAGTTATATCAAACAACAAGAAAAATGACGGTGTTAGGTTAATGTAGAGTATGTAAAAGCTAGAGTATTACCGGGTCAGCAAAAAGGTTAAATAAAAAAGGTTGCACATCTTCTAGAGTCTCTGGACCTCCAAGGTTTAGCAACAACACTCCAATCTTGTCATCACCATTAAGAGTTGTTTCAGAAACATCTTGAGCTGTTCGAGTTACTAAAGCTTCCACCGAGAACGCGTGTTTGTTGAGTGATTGGTTGGAAACCAAGGATTGTGCTTCAGATCGCTGGGGAGAAAAACCGGAAGTTATGTAACTTTTCACATGATTGGAGTTAACATAAGGCTCCACGAAGGCTCCAGAGCATAATGACTTTTTTTGTGAGGTACAGATTGCCTGTGGCAATAACCTGTGAAAGTAAAATTAAAATAAGCTTTAAAATTTTCTCACACCTCTAGAAAGTATAATTAATTTTACTAGAGAGCAATCAAACACGTCAGAAAAAGAAAGGGCTGAAAATGGGAGACTTACATAGGACGCTTGAAATTAGGAGAAGCATGGGTGAGTGTATATGAGGAAGAAGTAGAAGGTGATGACGTGGCATGGGTTGGATTTGGAAAGTTCATAGCTTAATAATTGATAAATCAACAGCAGCAGCAGCAGCAGCAATGTATGGTTGAGGCCTTGTTTGGCATAAAAAAAGGAGTGTGAGAAGTGAATTTAGGAGAAAGGTGATAAGTATACCCAAGTCGGGTGGGTGCAAATAGTATGGAGGAGAATGAGAGTTGGCACGTGTCTGGTGAGTGCTATGAGCTGTTGCTTTTCTTTTTCCCTATGGTTTTGGATTTATGGTATAGAGAGAGGAAACGTTAGCCGTTGGTAGCTGCCGGTACTCTCTCCTTTATCATAAAATGTACTACAATAAACCAATGAATATTTCTGTCTACTACTTTCTTTAACTTTTTTATAAAAACATTTCATTTTTCTAAATTCATTAAATCATTAATATATTTAATGTGTATTTATTATTTAATAAATTAAAAAAAGATAAAATATATCTTATAAGAAAAATCAGATGGAGTATAAAAATATGTTAATCAATGAATAAATAATGTTAAGGATGATAATAAATAGAATTTGAAGAAATAACGTTAAGGATGATAATAAATAGAGTTTGAATAAGGTACTATAATACTTGTGATTTTTTGTTTGTTTATGAGATCATACTTGTATAGGAACCAATGTTTATACGAGTTTCATTATTTTATGGATATCTAAACATTTATATTTATATAGTTTATTTGTATTTTTAATAAAAAATAATTGATCAATTATAATTTATTATATTATTTTAAATTTTTTCAACAATATTAAAAAAATTTAAAGATATTATTATTGAGATAACAAAGAAAGAAATATTTATATTAAAATCAGTACAAGTTTAATAATCATGTATTTAATAAAATTGATAAGTTAACATTTGTATATAATAATAAAAATGTGTTCGTTGTCCGGTTTAGATCGGTTTTGAAACAAAATATCATCCGATCCAAAAATATATAAAGCATACAGTTTGGTTCGGTTTTTGGATGACAACAAGAAAAATCCAATCCAATCCAATTTATATGGTTTACTTCGATTCGGTTGAATCGGTTTTATTCGGTTTTTAAACCAACACTATTTAGAAATTTAAAAAGAATATATTTCAATACCAGTTACAATTATGCCACCAACGTCTACTGAGACAATATCTAATTGCTATGTTCATATGGCTATTTGATGTCATTATTGCAAAGTTTCATTATAATATATGTATAATATTTATCCCAACGAAATAGACATGACTATAATATATAATATATATGGAGATATGCTTAGTTCTTATATGGAGATTTGTATTATAAATTAAATATATGACAAATATATAAAACAGTGAACAAATGAAGATTCCAAAGCTATAAATGATTAATTTGAGAGGATGGCTATAAATGATTCGATATTAATTTATTTTAAATAATAAATGGCAAGTAAATGAAAGTAATATCGGTTCGGTTCTCATGAAGCCAACCGTAAACCAAATCGAACCGGTCGGTTATGCTACATGGTGATCCAAATACATCCAAAAAAATTCGTTTTTTTTTTATTTCGGTTTTTTCGGTTCGGTTTTTGGATTTTTTTTGGATCGGATTGGATCTGAACACCCCTATATGTGTGTGTGTTTTTTTGTGTGTATGTGAGGATCAACTTACTCTAAGAGAAAAAAAATTTAGTTTACTTCAAATCATAGCCTTCAAATAAATTTAATCTAATAGTTAATTAAATAACAATACTAATTAACCATTACATTAAATTCACTTTGAAAGTCATGATTTAGATTAAGATAAAAAAACTTACTCTTGAAATAATATGATTATATATGTGGGGAGATCGTAGGTAATAAGATACTCGTATCCGCGGCCATACCCGTTTATTTTAGTGAGTATTTGTCCATGTTCACACTTGTATCCATTTTGCAATTTTAACTCTAACGATTGTGGAAAATTTTTCGGATACCCGTCCATTTGTCCTCTTTAATTATATTGAGCTTCGAACCTTAATTTTGTTTTAGTTTTTAATATAGTAAAATCATTGCATCTATCCAACTAGATCAAGTCATTTTTTTACCTTTTATAATTAGAGAATTTTTCATCTCTCGCTAGTGTGATTTTTCAACTTTTTTATTTTTAAATTATTTATCCTTTCCACAAAGTGTCAATTTTAAGTTCACAATGAAGATGATTTATATATGCAATACTATGTGATTATTGCATAAGGGCTAAAATTTTAGAAATTTTAACTTGTAAATTTTACACCTAAGCATGTATCAATTTTAAGTGTCAATTTCTCTAACACAATCAATTAACACATTTGAAGTATTAATGAATGTTCGATCAAAGACTAATGGTCTAAAAAGTTACTGATTTCAACTTTAAGATTATAATTTCAAATGAAAAAAAATTAAATCTGAATTGTTCGACAATCATTAATACTCCAAATACGTGTACAAAAATTATAGAGAAACCTGGTGTGTCACACTGCCTTAACACACTCATTATAGAACGTGCATATATATAGCAGAAATGAAGCTCCACAATAGAAATATAAAAAAGATTGAAAGTACTCCTTATTAGTGAAACTCAACAACATTAAGTTGCCATTATATCTCTAAAACTATGCACAATTTGCATTTTTCCATCATTAAACACTTACTCATCCATAAATGAAAAATAAATTGTCATTTGTTATGAAAGAGATACATACTTGTACTTGTACAATCTACTGTGTATAAATAGACAAGAGAAAAACAAAACATAATAATATGTTATAGTAATTATTAATTCTTAATTAAAGAAGATAACAAAATTAACATTAAGCATACAAAGTATGCAATTAACAAAAAGAAAATTTAGACAAAAACAAGCAAAGAAAAGTATCAACAATGTAAAATGATTGTTTATACCATTTCGTTGAAGCCACTGAGATTTCATTGATCCATAAAACAACCAAGGTTGCAACACATGGTTCTAAAAATATTATGGTGGAAACATTTGACCTTGATGAAGAAATAACTGGTGTTGGAAAGGGATGTTAGATGGTGAAACATTGTCAACACCAAATAGAAGAGTTTGAGTATGAGTGTCCTGAATTACCTGACTATTAGCATGTTGTGCAATAAGGTTCCTAAGCTCCTCTAAAGCTTTCTTGAACATTTCAAGTTGAGCCCAATTCATCCTATCAATTGAACAAGTCCACCAAAATTGAGCATCAAACTCTTTGCACAAATGGCTCAGTTCATCACCAAGTTTCTTTTCAATGTCTAGTGTATTATTGATTTGAGTCAACTGAGTATTAATATCACACACGTTAGCTTTACGATGAGCCTCAATGAATTGCACGATGTCGTTGTTTTAGGCCTTAATTCATCCTAGCAATTGAACAAGTCCACCAAAACTGAGCCTCAAACTCTTTGTGCAAATGGCTCAGTTCATCACCAAATTTCTTTTCAATGTTTAGTGTGTTATTGATTTGAGTCAACTGAGTAATGATCTCCCCATGTTAGCTTTATGACGAGTCTCAATGAATTCCATGATGTCGTTGTTTTAGGGTGGAACTCAAGAGAGATAATGATCTATAACTGTATCAATATTGGGGTGACTAAAAGAAATACATTTCCACTAGGTGAGAATACATCAACAATAATTTATGTATTATATTGGGTGCAAAGTTTACTATCTTTCTTGAAGAGTGCGCTACAACGTCTTGAGAATGTCATTTGCAGGTTACTGTCGTAAAATCTCTTGTATATAGTTTATATGACTGAAAAAATTAATGGATAAAAAATGAAGCTCTTTTGTCAATTTGTATATATATTTTATTTTATTTAGAACGATTGATAAAAAATGAAGCCCACAACTTAATATTTTTCCCATAAATAGAGACAATAACATCACCTGTTAATTCACATTTTTAACAAAGAACACAATATAACGAGTCAACCAAAATTTACTACAAATAAATCGCGTAATTATTCAGATTATTACGATTATTTCCGGTTAATTAATTATCAGCTAAAAATTCTATTATTTCTACTTTGTTCTAAAGTTCTTATTATGTCTCTGTTAAATTAATACTACACTGTTATTATAGCATGTACTGTCAATAATATGATTATGCTATTTTATTAACTTTTAAACCTGCTATTGATTTAGCCTGCTAAATATTGCTATTTTATATTATTTCCACTTTCTACTACTAATAACCATATACCACACTATCACTTGATTAATAAGTCTACCACCAATTTCTGCTACTTATCTTAATTTATTCTAATGGTATACTACTATAATTAATTAAATAAATTTCCATACCAATAATAAATCATAAATTAGCAAGGATGTAGTATTATTTGGAAACTCCAACTTACCCTACTGACAACTCTAAATATGTCAGAATTACACAAAACAAATAAAAGTGACTTTTAATGATATGAAACAACTCTATTGATAACTTTAACAATATTATTGACAACTCTAACAACTCAATTGACAACTCTAACAATTCTATTGACAATTCTATAGAATTAGAAATAACTTAAATTAACTAAATAATTTAAAGATTTATATCTAACTCAAAATTCTTATAAATTTTATACTAATGATATTAAATTATTTCAAATATATTTATGGTATTTAGATATTAATACTTAAAGGGAACCATAGTTCAATGCAAAACAGTAACTCTTATAGCAGTGAGAACTTAGCCAATTATGTGTAATATTCTCGTTATCCCTTGTATGAGTAACCTTCTTGTAACTAATATTTTAAATGATTATGCTAGGTGTTTCAAAGTGAGACCAACATAATTTATTAGTGAGGGAAACTGAAACACATGTTAGAAGTAGTGCATATTTTATAGACATATGAAGTCTAACTACACAATTCAATATCACAAAATTTTAATTATTATAGAAACATGATATAATTTCTTTGGTTTAACGCTACAGTATAGTAACACTATAATATAAAAATATTAAATTGTTATCTATCCAATTCATCCATTCTATCAATAGAATATTGACTTCTTAATT